GCTTTCAGCGCCCGTTGTTTGTGTGGCACTCGTCAGCAAGGATATAATTAAGAGCAGCTATTTTGGATGCTTCCTTTATCTGGCAGCTCACAGTGATGTTGCTGCAGGATCCCCCCGCACCGTCTGAAATTATTGCTGTGCTCTCCAGATGGGAACATGGTGCTGGCAGGATGTGGCCGAGCTGGGAGTGGACATACGAAGCAAAGGGAATCCGTGGGGTCATCCCATTATGTTGGGCTCATTAGTGGCCACTGAGGTGGGGAGGCAGAGAGGCAGCCCAGCTTTCCCCTCATTAGATGGATGTTGATGTGGAGCAGGTTGGAGCTACCTGCTCGATGCAGACGCCTGCTCCCTGCGAGCTGGCACACTGTGATCACCCCAATGCAACCTGGGGGGAGCAGGCAGCTCTGGGGTGCCCAGAGCAATGGCACTGGGGTGCAGTTGGCTGGGCAGCATGGCTCACCCTGCAAATGCAGCCCTGCACGTGCAGCTGCTCGTGCTGTGCTCACTGTATCCTGCCCTGCAGGAGCGCGTGGGGCGGGAGGATGGGGTTGGTTCCTGCGCACCGGGCTCTGAATCCAAGCGTACATTTAGCTACTGTGATCCCGTCATTTAAGTAAAGGCATTTATGAGAGTAGTAGCTGGGATTAGCTCCCCGAGGCGGTGTTTACACGCAGCAGACTCTGTTTATAGTCAGTGTCTATGGCAGATGTCTGTGTCTCTCTGCGTGCACAGCAATCTCTGGCTGGAGACAGTCCGGCCGTGCTAGGCTTGCTGGATCCCAGGAACAGTGTAGTTCCTTCTTCTGATAGGGTCCTGCCCTGCCTCGCATTACCAAGTCCCCACGTTGCTGCGGGATACACAGACATCAACAGCTGGGCCATGGAGTGAGGGAGAGCAGGGAGCCAGGCCCAGGGAGCTTTGTGCTCCCGCATGGCACATCCATCATCAGAACAGTCCGTGGGGACATGGGGATGCCCTAAGGAGATGGTGTACTGCTGGAAAGCACTGAGTGCTTGTGTGTGCCTGGTGTTCCCCATCACTGCTTGGGTGCAGGTGAGATGCTGCGCAGGTGGCAGCAGGCTCAGCGGCTGTGCAGAACTGCACTCTCCTCCCCATCTGCCCATTGCCTTTTGTGTTTGCTCTTTTTAATTGGCAGCGCTCTCTGCTCCTTCTCTTCTCCCTCGTTATTTGGAGTTTCCTGGTTCTTGTGTGCCATTAATGAGCTCTCTTGTGTCTTGCCCCCTCTGAGCAGTCTGCATCCCACGCCATGGCTGAGGCTGCAAATCTGGCAGCATGCATGGAGTGCCTTCCTGCTCCTGGGACATCCGTCCTACCCTGAGCCCCTGGCTGCTGCGAGCATCCAGCCATGCTCTAGCTGCATTGCTAAACTTTCTGCACCATTCTGCCATACCCCGTGCCAGGATGTGCTGTTGTCTGGATCTCTAACTGAGAGCCAGCACAGCATCTGTACTGGTCAAGTATGGGTCTTCGTTACAAGAAGGGCTTAATTGTAGGGCTATGGGGTCATGTGCCCTTAAGGGTTTTCCCCACAGCCCCCAGGAGCCTTGGTGTTCCTAGCTGGTGTGGTGCTCTGCTAGCCCTGACCTGCCTGCTGCTGTTGCAAAGCTCTGGTAAGGGCTCTGGTGCAGGCACAGGGCTGGTTCTCTATTGGAGACAAAGCTGCATTGGCTCCTGCCATCTGAAGCCATGGTGAGGGCTGCAGGGGTGCCAGCCATCATCCGTGCACTCCACCCCTGTACCAGAGGGCACCTGGCTGCCAGCAGCACCCAGGGGTGCACTGTGGGAGGCACAGAACCACCCCCAACTGCTCCTCCTGGGGACACCGGCAGCCACTCCAATTTCCATCAGCCCATTTGAGGATGTTATCCCATCAGTGTGAGCTGCCTCCCAGCCCAGCTGTTAGAAGCTGAGGAGTCGTGCTGGGGTCCGTGCTTGCTGCAGCCCTGCCAGAGTGAGGCGGGTGCTCCGCTGCTGCCAGAGCTTTAACAAAAGTCAAACCGCTGCGCGGCTGGAAGTCACTGACTAAGCACTTGGCACGAGCATTTATTGAAGTGCTAAACAGATTTTGGCAGTGGCAGCCTCTTCTGCAGGTGCAGAGAGAAGAGTTTCTCTGCTCTGGTTTATTCAGCATTCGGCCAGCACAGGTTTGGCCAAAGCTGGGGTTGCAGCTTGGGCACCATGTGGCACTGCCCTGTGAGGACAGGGCTGTCACTGTGCATGTCCCTGCATGCCGACACAGCAGCCCCGGGCTGGGTGGGGACAGCGGTGATAGCTGCTGCCCCTCATGCTACCGGCACTGCTGCTCCCTGCCTGCAGCTGAAGGCTGAGCTGCTGCATCCTCGGGGAGCTGCATCCCTGATTTGGTTTTAAAGAAGGCACTTTGGGTCTTAATAGGAGATAATTAGAAGCTGCTGGCTGGGAAATGAGCCTGTGCTGATCCCAGCTGAGATTGCAAAAGTGGTTGCACGGGGATCGGCATCATCTTGGCATCATTGTTGCACCCCACAGTGTTGATCTCCTGGGGAAGCCCCTCGCTGGGAGCAGCCTGTGGGAGAGGACAGGCCCTGCTACCACTCGTCCATCTGTCCATCTGTCTGTCCTGCATGCGGGGCCCATCCTGGGGCCAGGGCTGAAGACTGGACCCAGTGTTGCGTGCCAGCCTGCTGCCTTTGTCCGCCGGCGATTTGCATCTTGCAGGGCGGCTCGGCCCCTCTACTGGGAACAGCTCATTGGGGCAGCAGCAGGCAGCGGAAGCAGCCCTGGGCACCTCTCCACCAGCCCTGAATGGCACCTTTGTTGGGGAGCCTGGCGGCAGCCATGGGCTGGCGGGCACCCACTCAGCCCTGGTGCTGGAGACTCTGCTGCAACTGGGATGGGACGTGGGGCTGCCGCATCCCTGAGGTCCGGCTGCACCAATGGGGATTTGTTGCTGGAGGGTTTTGTTACTGTGTTAAGGAGGGTGAACTGCCAGGGCGAGGGGGCTGCCTTGCCATGGGGGGCATGCTCTAATGGTGTGGTTTTTGGGAAGAAGGCAAGTGGTCTGGTCCGGGTGTACTGGGGGCCTCTGGCCCTCCCCATGTCGTGGGGACCCTGTGGTGCCCCCACCCACCATGTAGCTGCCTGATCACACTGTGCCAGGAGAAGATGCTGTGAATCTGATGGATGGGAGCTGCTATTTGTTGCTATTCAGAAGCCATCCTCTTTATCTGTCATCCATCGGCCCTGGGCTGCGCTGTTGTTAGCAAATGTACGGCTTGTTGGGCTGTCTGGCGGCTGATGGAGCGCAGGAGGGAGCGAGGGCAAACAGAGCTTGGCAGCATCCGCGTGGGCAGAGAGAAACTTCTCCCAGTGCCTGGTACCGTCCACCAGGCGTATCCCTCCCTCTGCAGGAATGAGACATACATGAAGGGGTCAGTTAGCCGGGATGAAGCTGTGGGGCCCATGTGGGCCAGTGCCATGCACAGCGCTGGCTATGGACAGGGATGGCAGAGCCTGATCCCCATCCCTAGGTGCCTCATCTGCATGCGCCTGGCCCTGTCTGCACCACACGGACTGGGATTTAAAATTCAATCAGGGCTTTACGTGCCAGGAGAGACTCTGGCTGCTCAGCACTGGCTTTACCTGCGTTGCAGTGAGACCTGTCCTATGCTGCATTGATTGAATGGGACAAGGCTGAGGGCACAATGCTGCTACAGGTAAGGGGGTACAGCCCCCCCCAGCCCCGGTTCTGCATCCCTTAAAGTGTGCTGGTGGGTGCCAAGAGACCCTGGTGACAGAGCAGGGTGCCTTTGGGGACTGGGACCCCACTCTGAGCCACTAGCCACTGGCACATGCAGACCCCACGGTGGGCCAGCAGCAGCTGCTTGCTGCCCGCACCTGGTGAGCATCCTGCTGTGCCCGGTGTGCTGACACAGCCCTCTGTGTTCTATAACTGAATATTGTGTTCAGGTGCTGATGAGTATTGCAGCCTGCATCATGAGCAAGGATCCAGCAGCCCTTCCATAGTGCTCTCTCCTCCACCTGAAATTGCCCCTTGCAGGGCTGTGCCTGTGCTGCAGCACCTTGCCTGGCTGTGCTCCCAGGCAGAGGAGCAGCCTATGATCTGCTTTTCCTCAACCCTCAGTGAATGATTTGCCCAAGGCATGGGGATGCACTGCTGCCTGCTTGCTGCACTGCACACACGGATGGCTACAGCTGGGAGATGTGGGCACCCCGTGGTCTGGGGTCACTGTTCCTCCTCCCCTGGCTGCACAGCCCTGGGCTGTGCCCCCCCACCTCAGAGGGCTGCAGCTCAGCCAAGTCTTCAGCCTCGCTCCTCCTCCTCGAGGCCCCAGAAGTGGTGCCACAGCTGAGCTTGGAGGTGTCCCATGTCCCCATGGCTCTGTTGTGTTCCTGCTCTGTTACAAGGAAGAGCACTTTCACTGAAAAGCCTGACTGGCGTTTGTGGATAAATCTCATGTAAATCTCACTCCATCCCTCCTTGCTGCGCTAATTGGATTGCTGCGAGGGACTCCATTCCCCCATGCCTTTGGTTGGAGTCAGGCAGAGCAGAGGAAGGCAGGGCAGCACCATGAGGTTTGAGGTGTGGCGGAGTCCTGTGGGTAAGGGAATGGGAGGGAAACCCCATGTCAGCTGTGGGGCTGTCAGCAAGTGATGGTGGGTAAAGCAGCACTACCCAGAGCTATTTGCTTTGGGCATTTTGATGCTTGCAGGAGCAACTTTTTCCGGGGCCTGAAATGCTGTGCATGGCCACCCTTCTGTCCAGACCTCAATCCTTATGCTTGCAGCACCCACAAGCTTGGGGCAGCTCCTCACAGCCCCATGCCACACCTGGCCCTGGGCTGTAGCCAGCAAAACCTACAGGAGAAGTTGCAAAACCCACCAGCAGCCGTGTCACCCTCCCCAGCACACTCTGTGCCCAGCTGTGCCGCCTCTGCCTCCTGGTTAACGGGCTGTCTGCTCTTCCTCTCTCCCAGAGCTCCTTGGATCAGCAAAGAGAGTCAATGTCAATTTCCAGGACACCGATGGGTGAGTGTGACCCCGCTCCGGGTCTGCATGCTATTGAGTGTGTATGCTATATGGGCTTTGCATGTTGTGGGGTGCAGTGAGTGGGAGATCTCATGCAGGTATCCTTGGTGCAATGCGGATGGCGTGACTGCACATGTGCAGGTGGCTTTGTGTGTACCAGCCATGCATAGCAGTGGAGATGAGGGCTGAAGGACACGGTGTGCTGTGCTCCTGCTCTGCCAGCCCCTGCCTCTCATGCCCTGAGTGATGGTGGTGCTTTGGAAGCACCCATTCCTGCTTCCTGCTGGGGCGTCAGCTCTGGGCATGTGTCTATGTGCATGGGTGCACACAGCATGCAGATGTGCATCTGAGAGTATGTGTGCATGCAAGCGTGGCTGTATGTGTGAGCAATGTATGGGTATGCTGGGCAGCACCGGGGAAGGCACATGGCTGCATGGGCAGGATGGGGGCTGTGTCACCCATGGCTCCTCTTTATGCAAGGCCTTCTAGGGGCTGGGGTGGTATAGAGAGAGCCTGCACTCTGCCTGCAAACTCCTGATGGGCTCAGGGTGTGCAGTAGCAGTCCTGCAGCAGTTCAGCTGTCCCAGTGCTGTGCCTCAGTTTCCCCGTCTCTGCAGCACTTGCTGGTTCCCAGGCTGATACTCAGGTGATGCCATGCTCTCATCGGGCCCTGCACAGCTCTGCAGATCTCCCTGCCGTTGTGGGAGAAGCCTCCGAGGCAGCCCAGGGGCAGCAGGGAAGGGGGGGTGTTGTGATTTGCACCATCTTGAGCCGATTTGAGCAGGGCGCTGGAGCGGAAAACGCTGACATTTCCAGGCAGACGCTGGGGATCGGCCTCCTGAGTGAGCTGTCTGCTCTCATCGCAGCGCCCGACGGAGAGCGGATGGGGAATCACAGGCAGTGGGGCCGCCGAGCGGGGACGGGAGGATGTGACCCTGTGCAACTGGGGGTCATGATGATTGCAGGGGTGGCAGGATTGCCACTCACAGCCCACAGTTTGGACATGGGGCCTTCAGGGTCAGCAGATCCCATGCTTTGTTGGTGCTGAGGTAACCAAAAGAATGGGATGGGGATGCTGCCTGGAGCAGTGGGGCGGTGAGTGCAGCCTTGCAGAGGATGCTGCTGCCAGAAGCAAGTAGGTCAGCGCCTGCCGGGTGGGAGCAGAGCGGGGTGCAGTGGGACGAGGGGCTTTCCCCAGCTCCCAGCACAGGGCAGGGGCACTGTGGCCATCTGGCAGCCTGGGCCCCCCCAGCTGCTGCCTGCGGTCGCGCCGCTGGGGCCAGGCTGGGGGAAGTGGGTCAGCAGGGAGGGGTTCCCTGGTGCCAGCAGCTTCCCTGGCAGTGCTGGGCCTCTCGCCTCCAGTCCTGGGACTCCCAGAGCTAAATGCTAAATAACGATAATAAAGCGAAATAATATGGATTGGCTGAGTCTGGTCCCTATGGCAGCTCCTTCTCTTGGTGCCCACGAAGTGCAGAGGCATGCATAGGGAGGCTGGCAGAAGCAGGGTAGGTGCTCTGGGAGCTGCAGTGGGTGCAGGCTGGAGTGGACAGCCCACAGGGACAGTGCCTGAGCCCCTCCTGACACTGCGCCCATTCCCCAGGTTCTCTGCCCTGCACCATGCAGCACTCAATGGGAACACAGAGCTCATCTCGCTGCTGCTGGAGGCACAGGCTGCGGTGGACATCAAGGATAACAAAGGCGAGTGCCTGTGGCTGTGCCACCCTGGGTCTGGTATGCAGGGCAGAGCACTGTGCCTGGCTGTGAGCGCACTGGGGTGGGAAGTGAAGGATGCCCTTTGCTATGACATGGGGGCTGCATCCCTCCTGGGGTCCTGCCCCATGCTCCCCACCCTCTGCCCCCTTTGCAGTCTTTGCCCAGGAGCATCTCTGTGCCCTGCAGGGCTCACTGCTGCTCCTCCTGCTCACCTGTAGGCATGCGGCCCTTGCACTATGCAGCCTGGCAAGGCAAGAAGGAGCCCATGAAGATGGTGCTGAAGGCAGGCTCTTCTGTGAACATCCCATCAGATGAGGGACAGATCCCCCTGCACCTGGCAGCACAGCACGGGCACTACGACGTGGTACAGCGGGGCCGGTGGTGGGGCACAGGAGGGGATGGACAGTGGTGGGGCACAGGGGACAGCAGTGGGGCTGATGCCCTCCCTGCCCCTGCTCATGTCCTGCTCTCACCGTACCTGGTCCTTCTCACACCCACAGTCTGAAATGCTCCTGCAGCACCAGTCCAACCCCTGCATCATGGACAATTCAGGCAAGACGCCCCTGGACTTGGCATGCGAATTTGGCCGGGTTGGGGTAAGTCTTTGCAAGCTGGGCCCCCCTGAGAGGCAGATCTGAAAGCGGGTGGTGGGTTCCTTGGAGTGGAGAGTCCTGTAGGTGGCATGGGGCAGCTGTAGGGAGGATCGCAGCAAGGGCATCTCCTGCTCTTGGGTCCTGCGGGCTGACCAGGGGTAGGGCACCCCTGTCCTGGGTCTCAGGGGGCCATCTCAGGGCGGCTGAGCCGTCTTTGCAGCCCTGCTCCGTCTGTGTTTGCTGATCCAGGTGGTCCAACTGCTCCTGAACAGCAACATGTGTGCGGCGCTGCTGGAGCCTAAGCCAGGGGACACCACCGACCCCAATGGCACCAGCCCTCTGCACCTTGCGGCCAAGAATGGACACATCGACATCATCCGGTGGGTGCTCTAATGTGCAGGGAGCGGGCCGACATCATTCCCATCCCACCCTTTGCTGACCTATCCGTGCATCCACAGGCTCCTGCTGCAAGCTGGCATTGACATCAACAGGCAGACTAAGGCGGGCACAGCACTGCACGAGGCAGCCCTGTGTGGCAAGACGGACGTGGTGCGGCTCTTGCTGGATGTAAGGGCTCCCTCAGCTCTGCTCTCCCAGGGAAGGAGTGCAGAACGGGGTTGACCCCAGTGGGATGTTACCTCCTGGTGGGAGGGCCTAGGGCAGCGAGCTGTGCCCATAGCAGCATGACTTCCTTCATTTTGGGTGGCCTTGGGGGTCCCAACCAGCTGTGTGCCATCCCAAGCTCTCTCTCCCCGTATCATTGCAGAGTGGAATTAATGCCCACGTCCGGAACACGTACAACCAGACGGCTCTGGATATTGTCAACCAGTTCACCACCAGCCAGGCCAGCAAGGAGATCAAGCAGATGCTGCGGGGTGAGGGAGCAGGGTGGGCACCTTGGGATCAACTGTGGGACACCTCCATCAGAGAGCCTCCAGGGGGGATCTCAGCACTGGACGCCCACCAACACTGCCCTCTGTTCCCACAGACGCCTCAGCTGCATTGCAGGTGCGGGCTGTCAAGGACTATTGCAACAACTACGACCTGACCAGCCTCAATGTGAAAGCTGGAGACGTCATCACTGTGAGTGTGGTTGCACAGGGCTGGGGGGACATAATACAGGTGGGGAGGCACAGCCCTGCCCTTACCACTCTGTGCCCATAGGTGCTGGAGCAGCATGCAGACGGGCGCTGGAAGGGCTGCATCCACGACAATCGGACCGGCAACGACCGCGTGGGCTACTTCCCCTCCAGCCTCGTGGAAGCCATAAGCAAGCGAACAGGCAAATACTTCCCCACCTCTACCTCCCAAACCAGTCCCAAGGAGCAGCCCAGCCCTAGGGACCCTCCTGTCGGGCTGGGGCTCAGGGGCTGCATTGCCACTGCTGAACCAAAGGGCAGTGTCCCCATTGTGCATGTGAACTTGCTGTCCCCACCGCACAGGGTGGGACAGGTGTGTGGGGCTGGAGCCCCCGTTGTGCGTCTCCACCGTGTGGGCACACTGCTGTATGGAGGTCAGAGCCCCCAGTTATGTAAAGAGTCAATGCCCTCGCTGTGTGTGTGGGAGGGAGGTCAGTGCCGGCGGCCCAGGAGTGTTGGGTGGGCAGTGTTTTTGTCTGTGCATGGAGATGGTTTGGGGTGTTACGGTGGTTTAGGAACATGGTGCTCAGAGACGGTCCCAGCGGCTGCACGTGGGGCTGGGTACTGGTGCCAGGGACCTGGCACTGCCCCACTAGGACTTATCTGTGGCCAGGGACCATATCAGGGAGAGGAACTTGCTCCCTGCCGTGTGGCTCCCCATCCCAAGGGGGTGCTCTTGGCTGTGCCCAGTGCCAGTAGCAGTGTGGTGGTGCAGGCACAGCACTGATGTGATGCAAAGGCAGTGCACTGACCAGCTCACTGCCCAGGGCTGCTGCATGTTCCCAGCCCCACGTCACCCCACTGTACGTTTCAGTGAGATCCAGGGGAGCGGAACCGTGCCAGGCTGCACCGATCTGCACAGTCCTCCTTGCCTGGCAGCAGGTCGCATGCTAGTGCTGCAGAGGCAGGGACGAGGCCTGTGTCTCCTGGGCTTTGTTGCAGTGGTGTTTCCAGAGTGTAGGATTTGTGGCAGCTCCAGGAACACAGCCCCACATGGCACAGGGGCTGTTCCAGGGCTTGGCACAGCGGTGCAGCCCTTGCAGCCCCACTCCTGCAGTGCTGTGGGGCTCCCACGTGGCGTCCTGGGAGCCCTGTGGGGACTCCAGTGTCATTGTCCCCCAGTGTCATTGTGAGGTGTTGGGGATCTGCAGGCTGTGCCCTGCCCTGCCCTGCCCTGTGCTGTGTACTGACTTCTGCTGTTGCTTCGTGACTCGACTCCTTCTCAGTTGGGTCTCGGTTCCGCCTCCTCCAAATTTCTTTTGGTTGCTTATTTTGTTAGCTGTTTTTTTATTTTTATTTTCTTTTTTTTCTTCCTTTCATTCTTTTTTTTTTTTTTTTTTTTTTTTTTTTGGTGGTGCTGAACATGTCTCTGTTATTTTGATTCTTTTCATTTTGTCTCTTGTTATGTTTTATTATCAGGTTCATGGGAGACTGTAACAATCCCCCAACAGTACCAAAAGATCCCGCTCCCGGCTTACGGGGCTGCTGTGCTAAACGGTGACGCCTCGTCCCATCCGTTCCATTCCCTGCCTCCACCTCCACCTCCACCACCACATTCCCATCAGACTCTTTTCAGTTCCTTTGGCTATCACAGGCTCTCCCCTAGCAGTGCCGACGAGCCGCGTTACGGACAAGGTAGTTCACCGCTCGCTTCATTCTCTCGATGGATTTCTTTCTTTTGAAGTGTGTATCTATTCTTTTCTTTTCTATCCGCTCGGCTTCTCTCCCCCGTGCCTTGGTGCCTGCCGTGTGCTTGCACGCGGGTGCGTGTGCGCCTGCAGGCGTGTGCTGGTGCGTGCATGCAGATGTGTGCATGCGTGTGTGTGTGCATGTGTGCGCGGCTGCGTGCGGCTGTGTGCACGCGTGCATGCAGAGCGGCCCCTCTGCTGCCCTCTCCTTGCACTGCTGCTGTCACCCCGCTGCAGCCTCATCCCATCCCCGGTATCCCTGGCCACGCGGGCAGCTCTGGATGCGGCGCTGAGCCCCTGACCGTGTGCTATCCCACCCGCAGCATCCACCCCCAAAAACACTTTGCAGCCTCCTGGTGCCGGGTTGGGAGGGGACAGCAGGAGCGACGAGCCCCTGCCCTTGTAGCATCCCCTCTCGGAGTGTTCAGCGCCCACAGGGCTGGGTCTGTGCATTCAGAGCGGGGCTGGCACTGTCCTGAGGGTGCTCTCAGGGCTGGATCCCCACAGACAGTGACCAGCGTCATCCTTGGGACTATCTCTGTGGCACAGGCAGGTGATGGGCACTGCTGGTGTGGGTGCTGGTGATGGTGACTGGGGAGCAGATATGGAGCCAAGGGTTTTCATGGTTGTAGCCTCTGTGCTGGCACACTGTGCCATGCCCTCAGGGGCCTCTGCCAGCTGTTTGGGGCTGGGGGTGCTTGCACAATGTGAGGCATACGGTGTGTTGGAGGAGCACTGGGCCACGCCTGTGGCTTCCCAGTGTGATGAGGATGGGGATGCAGCACTGCTCCCTAAGATTTTCTCTTGCAGTGAGATGGCCGCAGCACGCACAGTGGGCACATCTCAACCTAACAGCGCCGTGGCTGTCAGCTTCCTGCTCACGTTCCTACCATGAATTTATCACCTTGCACCATCTGCCCTGTGCTCCAGCCTGGCTGGGAGCTGGGCAAGTGGTCTCATGAATAAAAATATCTGCAGTGGCACAGGGGTGCAGCTTGGGCACAGATCCAGCACAGGGCTGCTCTCCATCACCACGCGATGCTGTTTTACACCCTGATCTCACTGCAGGGGGTTGGTACGGGTTGAGCTCCGTGCTGGGCATCTCCAGCTCTGGCCAGTGTGAGCGAGATCCAGTGGGGCTGGAGGGAGCGATGGAGGAGCACATTGATGGAGCTGCACTTCTGGGGTGGGTTGGAGTGCATGGGGCTGGGTCTCATCACTGCAGCTGGGTCACCCCCGTGTCACCTACTGCTGTAGGGCACCCTGGGGAGCACAGCACTCTGGTGTCTGGTCCTGCAGCACCCTCGCATGGGGGCAGGTGGCCACATGGGGACAGCTGTGCTGCCTCAGCTGGGGACAGTGGGGTGGGGGCTGTGGTCCTGACTGCCTGAGTCCTCACTGCTGCCTCCTGTCTCCTGCAGTGGGTCATGTTCCCATCCTGCTGTGCACAGGGACAACATAGTCCCTGTTTCCTAACTCCTGCAGTGGATCTGTCCTTCACTGGTGCCTGGCAGGACGGGGCCATGGCTCTGGCCATGTGCACATGGTCACTCCATGCTGGTTGCTTGAGGAGGACAGGACCAAAGTACAGCGTTGGCATCCCCCAAAACCTTTGACTGTTTTTTTTTTCCCTGCATATGGTGGTGATGGGCCCAGGGCCAGGGCTCACATCTCCCCACGCCACACTGCCGTGAGCTCCTTCTGCTGGGTCACACCTGCCTGACACTGCTCTCTCTGCTCTGCCACCAAGGGTCCCGTGGGGCTGACATGAGCCCATCCCACCTTTCACCATCGCAGGGTGGATTGGCTGCACCTGCACCCACCGAGGAGATCTGGGTGCTGCGGAAACCTTTCACAGGTACAGTGGGCATTTCCCTCCTGTTCCCAGGGCAGCACGCATCGCAGCACCGCAGTGTCCCTGTGCCTGGATGCGGATCCCTGATGGCATCTCCTCTCCCTGTGCAGGTGGCGATCGCAGCAGCCTGGGTAGCACAGGCAGCGTGGCCTCAGCCCGCAGCTCCGGGAGTGGGCAGAGCACGGGCAGTGGGGCGCACGCCCTGCATGCTGGCTCTGAGGGCGTCAAGGTAAGGCCGTGCACCGGCACACAGTGTCACATGGCTCCGGCATTGGTGCTGGCTCGTGGTGGGACTTTGCTCCTTTGGCAGCTGTGATCCCATCCTGAGCAGAGTCTCTGCTGAGATCAATACTGCACCTCGTGCTGCAAGGTCCTGTTGGCATTCAGTGTGGCGTGGGGAAGCTGGTCACTGCCTGTTGGCATTCAGTGCCGCGGATCATGGTTGTCACCATCCGGCCACCCTCTTCCACCCCCATGCTGGCTGCTCGCTGAGCTCAGCCCCCAATAGTGGTGCAGCATCTGGCCAAGGCCCGAGCTGTGCATCTCTGCTGCCTCTCTGAGGATGCATCTGCACTGCGCACTGCACCGCACACTGCACGCCGCCATCTGCACGCGGCCCACTGCAGCTACGCGCTGCACGCTGCCATCTGCTCGCTGCACGCTGCTGCCCAGTGCACACTGCTGCCCACACGCTGCCCTCTGCATGGCACGCAGTGCCCGCTGCACGCCACACATTACATTGCGTGATGCACATTCTGCACCACACAGCGCACGCTGCACAGCGCGCACAGCACACCGCACGCTGCGCTTTCCGCACTGTACATTGCCCACCATTCATTGCACGCTACGCACTGCTCGCTGCCCCCTGCACTCCGTGCACAGCAGCCCCTTCCCGTGCCAACACATCCCGGGGAGCCCCATGAGCCCACCTCCCCACAGGTGTGATGCTGTGACCGGCTGGGCACTGAGAGCAGTGCGTGCCCCCCATGCCGACGGCCACCACGGCTGCACCGTGCAGGGGGGGCCGTGCTGGCAGCCCTCTCCGGCGTGCGCCGGGGTGCCGCGGTGCCGCAGGCTCCCACCACCCGCGAGCACCATATGTGCTGCGAGCGCTGCTTTCCCCTCCGCAACCCAGATCCGTCGCGCTCCTCCCTGCAGCACCGCAGCGCCCGCCGCGCACCCCCCGGTTCCCCGCTCGCCTCACTGCCGCCTGCTCTCCCCCCTTCTCGGGGTGTTTTTCAGCTGCTGGCAACGGTCCTTTCCCAGAAGGCTTCTGCGCAAGATGCTGCCGTGGGCGATGGGCCGGCCAAGGCGCAGGACATCCCCGCAGGTGCGTGCTGCCGGCCCGGCTGCTGGGAGCAGGAGGAGCCCTGGCCCCGCCGCGGGCTTGCCGTGGGCTGAGTGATTTGTCTTTTTTTTTATTGCCGCGGCACCCGGCGCAAAAGAAGAAAACGTGTGGGTAAAAAATGACTCTCTCGCCTTTCGGCTGCTGCCAGGCCTTCTCCTGCCTCGGTTAGTGGGGGCACCGTGGGGAGGGGGCGGGAGGGGGGGGCGCGGGCGGGCGGTGGGGCGAGAGCGCTCCCCGGCCCCTTCCCCTCCCCGGCCCCCCCTCTGCCGCTGTCTCGCCGCCCAGGGGCTCGGCCGGGGGCAGCCGGGCCGGGGGTGCCCACGCCGCGGGGGAGGCACGTGGGAGACGCAGGAGGACGATGCTCGCGTGCCGGGTGTGCGTGCCGGGGGGGTGCCCAGGCTGCAAGGGGGAGGTGCATCCATAGGGGGATGCAGGCGTTGATGGGGGTGGTGTGCACGCTGGGGGAGTGCAGGTATTGGGGAGGGAGTGCACAGATGTGGAAGGTGCCCACATGAGTGGGAGATGGATGTGGTGGGGAGGCACATGGCAGAGGGAGGCACGTGTGAGGAGGTGCCCACGCGAGTGAGATGCAGACCGGGGGGAGATGCGTGCGCCTGAGGGATGCACATGAATTGGGGGAGCAGTGTGCACAAACACACACACACACAAGGAGGATGCAGGCAGGTGCCAGAGAGATGCATGCAGGCGCGCACACACACACACACACACACAGAGGAAAATGTTCCCGCAGCGTGCAATTACATACAAGGAGGATGCACTTACCAGCAGGGGGAAGGAGATGCTTTTGTTGATCTGGATTAGAAACATGAGGTTGAAATTTCTGTGCAACCTGATGGCTGCTGAAGGCCACCATCCTGAAGATAAGGGGTGTCTGGATGCCTGTGCTGAGGTGCAGGGGTACAGGGCAGCTAGTGGCAGTGTGCTGGGTCTCCTGGCTGCAGTGAGGCTGAGCCTAGACCTGTGCCAGTGGCATGGCTGGAGGAGTGGGCACAGATGGCTCTGGGCAGCAGGACCTCAGGCTGCTGCCTGGGGCACGTTGGCAGACGAGGAAAGCAGCTCTGGGGAGGGGTCTGCCTCCTGCTGGGTCCATCAAAACACTCTGGCCCTCAGCCTCCACTTGGCTACCCCAGGTGAGCGCCATCCTCTTAATGCCCCAATGATGCCACGGTCTGTGGGAGCTGTGCTCACAATGACATGGGGGCCAGGGAGACCTGGGTACTCTGCAGAGCTCTGTGCCAGCACAGCCTCCTCTGTAAGCCTGGGGATAGCCTGCTGGCCTTATTGGGCACCATCTGCACAGGGATGGTACTGTCCCAGGGAGCACAGCCCAGGTAAGGGCACCCTGCTGCATGGGGCTGGATGTTGCTCTCCTCTGCCTATCCTAGCCTTGTTGCCCCTGGCAGTGGTTCTGCTCCCTGCCTTACACAGCCAGATTCTGGGGGCTGCAGCTTAGGGATGCACTGAGGAGGACCTGACCAAGATCCTAGAACCATGAGGCCCGGCAGACCCGTGGCCCTATTCCCCACTGACTGCTGCCCCCCCAGCAGGCTCGTCGCGGTCGCAGAGTGTGGCCAGCTCCCCCTATGCACCCCAGCCACCTGCCGAGCAGCAGCTGAAGAAGATGGAGCCACCATCAGAGGGGAAGGTGAGCGGGGAGCACTGAGTGCACTGGGTACCCTGCGGAGTTCACAGTGATGGGGGGCATAGGCACAGCCACCCCCTCACCAACAGCTGCAGGCAGAGCTGTGCCACAGCCACCTGTGCTGGCGTGGCTGAGTGCTGGTTCTGGTGCTGGCCATGATGCCGTGCCCATGGGATGCCTAAGCCAGGGGGCTACATGGCCTTTCTGCAGTGCTGACTGATCTGAGGCCAGCATGCAGCTGGACAGCCCATGGGGCTGTGACAAGAACAGAGCAACAGAGCCCTGTGCCAAGGCTGCCCCGAGCTACACCATTCTTCTCATTCTAGAGCTCAGAAGCTGTGTACCAGTGGCTGTGTAAGTTCCAGCTGCAGCTCTACGCACCCAACTTCATCAACGCCGGCTACGACATAACCACCATCAGCCGGATGACACCAGAGGTGAGGCCATGAGGGCAGTCCTGGGACTGCCACCTGCTTGTGGAGAGTGATCCTGATTCTCCTCTCTCCCTCAGGACCTCACAGCCATTGGTGTCACCAAGCCAGGGCACAGGAAGAAGATTGCCTCTGAGATCAATAACCTCAACATCCCCGAGTGGCTGCCCGAGTACAAGCCGGTAAGGGCTGCGCGGGGCCGGGTGCCATGGTGCCACAGTGCCACATCCAGAGCGGTGCTGGGAGCCCTGCAGCAGGTTCCATCCAGGGAGGGCTGTCACAGGGGGAGTGGCAGTGGGAACTGGCTCACTGCTCCCAGATGAAGCCCATGTCCCATGGTCCTGAAGCTGCACATCCCCTGCTGAAGTCCCTGGCATTGGCATTGGGCCAACGACAGCTGTCACCACATGGATGTGATGCTGTCTGCGCCTTGATGTTATCCCATCAGCTGGACCATAGTAAGGGGTCCTTGGAGCACAGAGGTGCAGGAGTTCCCTAGGCCCTCCCCGGTGAGCACAGGGAGACATGTGGCACTATCACTGCATGCGGTGCCACCTGGTGCTGAGCAGTGTCCCACGCCCCCAGGCCAACCTGGCGCTGTGGCTCTCCATGATTGGCCTGTCCCAGTACTACAAGGTGCTGGTGGAGAACGGCTACGAGAACATCGACTTCATCACTGACATCACCTGGGAGGACCTGCAGGAGATCGGCATCACCAAGCTGGGTAAGGTCTCATGACACAGCACTGTGGTGGCCCATGGTTCCTTGGCTGACACTGATGCTTTGTGCCATCCCCAGGCCACCAGAAGAAGCTGATGCTCGCAGTGAAGAAGCTGGCAGAGCTGCAGCGGGCTGAGCTGGGCAAGTATGAGCCAGGCACACTGAAGAGGAAGGCAGCGGCATGCCCAGAGGTGCTGGCCATTGAGTCCCCACCACCTGAGCCACCCGAGTGCCAGTCACCCAAGATGACAACGTTCCAGGACAGCGAGCTGAGCAGTGAGCTGCAGGTGGCCATGACAGGTGAAGGACCTGAGGAGACGCCCGAGAAACCAGCCAACCCTGCAGCCCCTGGCTACCGATCACCACCAGCGCTGGGCGGCCGCGCCAGGCAGATGAGCAGCTCACAGGAGCTGCTGGGTGATGGCCCCCGTGCCCCTGCCAGCACCGCCATCTCCAAGAGCCAGGAGTACCTGGCAGAGGGGGCCCCCGAGGGTCCCCCTGTGCCTCCAACCAAGGAGCTCCGCCAGCCACGGCACGGCCACTCTGTCAAGCGTGCCAGTGTTCCGCCAGTGCCCGGCAAACCCCGGCAGGCCTTCCCGCCTACCGCCGGGCACCTGACACCACCACAGACCCCTGGCAAACCACGTCCACCCTCCCCACAGGGCCCATCAGCACCCCACGCCACTGCCAAGGTGAAGCCCACTCCACAGCTGCTGCCACCGGGTGAGCGCCCCGCATCACCCCGCTCCCTGCCCCAGTCTCCCACGCACCGTGGCTTTGCCTACGTCCTTCCGCAGCCCACCGATGGTGAGGGGGCCCTCCCAGGGGTGCCAGTCCTGCCCGTCTCAGTGCCGGTGCTGTGCCTGCCACCAGCAGGTGAGGGTGAGGAGGAGCCGGGGAGGCCGAAGAAACGGGCACACAGCCTGAACCGCTATGCCACCTCCGACAGCGAGCAGGAGCGGGACGAGCTGCTGGTGCCTGACGCGGGGCCTTATGCTACTGTGCAGCGGCGCGTGGGGCGCAGCCACTCAGTGCGGGCACCTGCCGGTGGTGACAAGAATGTCAACCGCAGCCAGTCCTTCGCCATCCGCCCCAAGAAGAAGGGGCCCCCGCCACCACCCCCCAAGCGCTCCAGCTCTGCTATATCCAGTGCTGGCATGGCCGAGGACTTCCCCAAGGATGGTGAAGGTGAGGTGGCCACTGGAACCCCTGGCACTGAGGGGGAGAGTCGTCAGGAGCAGCGGCGTGCCAGCGATCTGGGTGGCAGTGTGGACACGGGCAGCGCCGGCAGCGTGCGCAGCATTGCAGCCATGCTGGAGATGTCCTCCATCGGTGGTGGGGCGCGGGCGCTGGCCCTGCAGAAACCACCTGGGGCTGGTGTGCCTGGGAAGGGGCCCGATGGGTACTATCTGCAGCCAGGAGCTCCCCCAGGAAGCCCTGAGCGTGCCCGTGTGGCCACCGTCCTGGCTACCGTCAAGCACAAGGAGGCCATTGGGCTGGATGGGGAGGTTGTGAACCGGCGCCGGACCATCAGCGGTCCTGTCACCGGGCTGGTGGCGGCCGCACGCCGCGAGCGTGCCGACAGTGTGCGCTCTGAGACAGGCGCTGATGGCCCCAGCGAGCGTCTGCGGGCTGAGCGTGGTGGCTCTCCAGACACAATCCCCTTTGCTGAGGAGGGCAACCTCACCATCAAGCAGCGACCACGTGCCCTGGGACCAGCCCGGGTGGAGGCAGGAGAAGGGCTGTCCCCAGCGCACCGCCATGGAGACCTGGCCAAGGTGGAGGCCAGTGCCACACTTAAGAGGCGCATCCGTGCCCGGCAGAGCCAGCAGGACAGCGTCCGCTTCATCCTCACCGAGTCTGACACTGTCAAGCGCCGGCCCAAGGCCAAGGACAAGGAGCCAGCGCTGGAGCAAGCCCCTCTTGTCGTCTACCAGAATGGCACCGGCACTGTCAAGCGGCGGCCAGCTTCAGAGCTGAGTGGAGCTGAGACTCCCCCAACCCCACCGCCTGCCACCCGCCCCGACGGCCCTGACTTCACCCCACCGCCTGCCGAGCCCAAGAAACCCTTCAAGCCACCGGTGTCCCCCAAGCCTGTGCTAACGCAGCCAGCGCAGAAAGTCCCTGGGCCACCAGTGCCCATCCCCAAAAAGATGCCCATCCCAAGCCCAGGCAGCCCAGGTAGGTGTTCGTGAGCATTGGGGATGGTTGGCTGTGGGGAGCCCCTCGGGGCACTGCACCGTCACTGCAGCCATCCTACCCCATTCCCTCTCCCTTCTCTCCACAGAGGTGAAGCGGGTCCACGGCACACCACCCCCAGTATCCCCCAAGCCCACACCACCCCCCACGGCCCCCAAGCCGCCCAAGCCCCATGCCGCCATCCAGTCGGTGAGCGCGGGCTCCACGCCAACTCCGTCCCCCGCCCGGCAGCTGGGCGCTACTGCCAAGCCCTCCAGCACACCGCCCTCACTCTGCTCCAGCCCTGCCAAGCCCCTCTCACCCGGTGCTCAGCCCCAGCAGGTGCCAGTGAAACCGCCGCGTTCCGCTATCGCCGGACCCTCTGTTGACAGTGCCAGCCCTGAGCTGGTGCAGCAAAAGCTGGAGGAGACCAGCGCATCCCTGGCTGCTGCGCTGCAGGCTGTGGAGGAGAAGATCAAGCAGGAGGACAGCCAGGCAACAGAGTAAGGGCTGCGAGGATGCGGTGTATGGCAGGGAGCTGAGCGAGGGCTGGGGGTTGCGCTCTGGGCTGCGTGGGGATGGTGGTTTGGGAGGATGAGTACCACGGACTGGCGGTGGTGGTGACACTGGGGACAGGGCACTGGGGCATAGGAGGGCACTGGGGCTGTGGTGGCACTGGGGATGCTGACCACAGAGGGTCAGGGCCATGGCACAGGGCAGAGGTAGCCACGTGGTCCCAGTGCATGCACTGACCCAGTGCCCACCACTCTCCTAGCTCCACTGCAGAGGCAAAGAGCACAGGCAGCATCCTGGATGACATCGGCAGCATGTTTGATGACCTGGCCGACCAGCTGGATGCCATGCTGGAGTGAGGGGCGCGACGGCCCCGCGAACCTCAGGGCTTACGTGGGCACAAGGGCACAATGATCCGCGACCTCCCGGCCCCACCATCCCCTTTGTACAGCCGTCCCCTCCTGGACCTCCCATCCCTCGGGGTTTGCACAAAGAAGAAGATACCTCAGGATTGTGCTCACGGACTCGGCGCCCGCCCGCCACGGCTCCGGCAGGACTCCCTTCTGCAGAAGCAAAAAAATACAATAGAAGAAGCAAAGCAACACCACCCGGCCTGAAGCGCCCTGCTCGCACCAGATCCGGGTTTGGGGTTTTCTCTCCCTACCCGTGGTGGCCCCATGGTTGCCCTGCCGGCCCCGGTCCCCGAATGTAGCACAACCCCGGTGCGGCACTGCTGGCATTCATCCACCCGTGCCCTCTTGTTCTGGTGGCGAGTCCGGATGGGCGATGCACTTAGGTTTCTTTAATTTTTCTCTTCATTTTCTCTTTTTGTCATTTTTTTCCTTTGTCGTTCGCGAGCATTGGGGTGGGCACGGTGCTGGGTACCCCCACAGCACCCGGATCCCTGCACCCGCTGCTCTCCAGCCCCGCGCTGCTGCTGTGGGCTCTTCACGTCGGGGTGGGAGAGGGGCTTTTTGTCGGTACCGTTGCAAATGGATGAGCTCCTGCTTGGGGCAGGTGGGGAGCAGCAGGTTGTGCCCCTGCCCAGCCCCTCGCCGCCGGGGGAGAGGACGTCATAAGCTATAACGAAGTATTAATTTATTGGAGGGGAAAAACGACTGAGAGATATAAAGCAGTATTTCCCCCATCTCCCAAATAATAATAATAATAAAAAAAAAGAATAAACTTTAACAAATATATATTTAAAAGATTTAAAAAAAAAAAATATTAGCAATTATATATAAAGCAGTTTAAACAAAACAAAAAAAAAAAATCAAGAGAGAACTGGATTTTAGCTTGAGAAAAACTATTAGATTATACTAAGCTGTGTGTCTTGTGGCAAACTCATTCTCCGAGTAGCACAATATTTACCTTTATCTGGGTGGAAGGTACGTGCAAGCCGTTCTGTTCGGGTTTTCCGTTGGGTTTCAGTGTACCGTCTTTCTTTTTACACAGTTAAGAACTCAAAGGATGTGCCTTGTTTTATGGAGGTTTTTGTTAACTCTTCTACTGGAGGTGTTTCGTTTCTTTCCGGAGTGTCTTCAGGTTTTCATTTGACTTTTTTTGGCATTTCTGTGTGTGTGTGTGTGTGCACGCGGTGTGTGCGTGCGTCCCGGCGCACGGCTGTACATTCATGTATAAACAGGAGTCTGGTTCAGTCGCTTGAGTTCTGATGAATGCATCTTTTTGTTTTTTGCTTGTGGTTCCCAACAAAGTGTTGCTGTACCTCTCTTTTCCCCGAGCCGCGCAGGCTGGGCTCGCCCTCCCCTCCCTCCTTCCCGTTGTGGTCGCTGATCCAGATGTGTTTGGCACAACTTTGAAATTTCTTTACAAAAAAAAAAAATTAAAAAAATAATAAAAAAAAATAACAACACACACACACGCAAAAAAAAAAAAAAAAAAATTTAAAAAAAAAAAAAAAAAAAAAAAAAAAAAAAAAAAAGACAAAAAAACATCACCCGCCTGAAAATATCTGTTGAAAGGAAAAAAAAAAATATGTATCTACCAAAAAAAAATCCATAAAGTTCTACATGATGGATATATACATATATATATTTTTTATGATTAAGTTATGGACTCTGTATTGTATCCCATCTGTCAAGCTATGCATCTTGGTGCTTTCCCTGCTCTTCTGTGCTTAGATTTCACCTCTACTCGTCTTATTCTTCCTATTCTGAATAGTAGATGGCTCGTGGTGCTGTGAAGAAGTTTGCTCCTATACAAAGTCTGGCAACAAATATTTAAAGAAAAATAAAAAAAAAAATAAAAATAAAACCCTGCCGGGCTGCCACCCCTGTTTGTGACCCGAGAGGTGTCTCCTGGTGCGAGGGTCCTGATGCCATCGGGGCTGGTGGGGGCACAGCGGTGCCGCAGAGCTCCCAGTCCTCATTGTGCAGAGCTGGGTGGATATGAGGCACAGCCCAGAGCTCCCCTGTGCCTCTGCCCTGGGGGGAGCCAGTGCCAGCCTGGGGCGAGGGGCTGTGGGTGCTCCCCACCTGACTGCCCACCGTCCTGCAAAAACTCACGCCGGCCAGGAACAACTCTTTCCACTTTTATTGTCAATGAAGAAATAATCAAATCTATATTACAATCTTAAAAACAGTAGAAAATGTGAGTAAAAATGCAACAGAGGCTTTTTCTCTTTAATGTGGAAACCATTATTACAGGGCGGTGAACAATGGGCTTGTGTTATCTGAGAACTAGCAGTGGCGTAAAAATCGTACCTGGCTACTCAAGAAAACACCTCTTCCCAGATGGATCAGCCTGACATCTTGGCAGTAAAATTAAATACTAGAGACAGAAAGGGCTTGGGGACCTAACCCAGGGCACGGCCTAATGCTCAGCTCTACCATTTACATGGGACCACCTCCCAGCCCCCACCTGCGCCCACCCAAACCACTGGGTCCCGGTGCTGGCCAATATGACCGGCACACTGCGGTGAGGGCACCATGCAGCTCTTCTGCATTCCCACGTGGCAGATCCGAGGGAACAACTGGAGCATCCGTGGGCCAGATCTATCCTGAGAGCTGCCCGCCGGGGTCCTTGCAAGGGGGAGAACCGCAGCTGACAGGCAGCAGCGGGCAGTGCTCGGTGCAGAGAGGAGCTGCAGCAGTTCTTCGGAGTGGTGGCATCACCCAGCAGGCCGACGGAGGGAGGCATTTTTGGTCTTTCAGTGTGTAGAACTAGGGCGGCTCTCGCTAGCACGTCCAGACCTGGAGGAGACAACAGCAACCCGTGGTCATGACAGTTCTGAGCAGCTCCACTGGCTTCTCTTCGTCATCTCATGGAGTTTCTCTTTGGGTTTTCAGCCCCCACAGCACCTCTGCCAGGAGCTCAACCTCCCACCCGCTGAAACTCATCTCCTTGTTTATTTAAAGCCAACTCCTCCTTCATTTAACTCCCGAGTTCTAGCACTAAGAAGAGACCAAAGCATCACGGAGAAGCCTAAGGAAACCAACCTTTACAGTGCTGTCCACAGCGCCAGAGAAGAGGCGGCCCCTGGAGACTGCAAGGGCAGTGACACTGCCCTGGTGCCGCAGCAGCGTCTGAGTACAGATCATGTTGTCCATGCTCCACACCTGTGGGCACACAGAAGGCACGAGACAGAAGAGGATTACTCATCCATCCTCTCCCTTCTAATGCTGTGTCACAACAACAGTGCCAAGAGCACAGACCCAACTGCACAGCCCCAGACACGTACCCTGAGAGACCGGTCATATGATGCACTGAAGACTTTGGTTTGATCTGGTGTGGAGATGACAGCAAGGGCATAAACTGTACCCACGTGACCAGTCAGTGTGCGGACTTGTTCCTTGGTCTCTATGTCCCAAACCTGTGGAAGGAGAGCAGGTCATCATAACCTATTACAAGATGTTCATCCACATCTCCAAGCTCTGGGTGCACCAGCAGAGCCAGGCTCCCAAATCCTTGCCCCTCTCTCCCAGCCCAAGACATACGTATTGAATCCTGCAGCCCTTACATGGATGAGGTTCTCGTAGGTGCCACACACGATGTGGTGGTTTGTAACAGCAATGGAGTAGACGCTGCCTCCTGATGTCTGCAGCACATGCACACACTCCAAGTTTCGGATGTCCCAAATCTGAAAGAGCCACCAGAGTGAAGGATGAGACCCACAAAGGCACCATTCTCCAGGAGGGAGCTCTCTTAAAACCATCCCCCAGACACCCAGCCCTGCTCCGTGTTACAGACTGATCTGTCCAGCTGGGAACGTTCAGTGCCAATGAGCAAAGTCCTGCTGTCTTATTCAGCTGCCTAGCTTTGGATATCTAGGCTGAAAAAATGGCGGAGATTGCATGCTTTGTGTTTGTGACTGCACACACGTGCACAAATCTGCTCCTGGGAGCACAAGAAACTGATGTGGGCAAATTAATGGGGATTTATTAATAAGGGAGGGAAACTTCAAATTCTCTCGTGTCATCCAGATGCTGAGAGGTGAACTATTCATCAAAGCCTGAGCCAACACAGATGAGGGCACTTTGCAAAGCACGCACAGATTTATGGTAACTCTAGAGCCAGACAGTGACCTTCTCCTCTTATCAGCAGCACTGTCAGCACAGATAACGCTGCGGCAGCTGCAGAGGCAGTGTGAGGCGCCACGGCTGCGTGGCCGCTTTTATCTTAGCGAGCATCCCTGGGCAGCTGCACTCACAAGGAGCAGCCAGAGCCCTGAATTAGTGCCTACGAAGATGCAATCAGTAAAAGTTAGCATGTCAGCAGTGTTGCAGCAGTGTTCTCACTTCTGAGCACTGCCTTCTGCCCTGCTCAGCCGACCCGTGCTGCAGAATACATATATGTATCAGGGACAGCCTATGGCTTACAACTGCCACGAGTCTCACCTTGATGGTTTGGTACGATCCGCTGTACAGATAGTTTTGAGAAGCCACCAGTGCTCGCACCCAGTGATTGAGACCTGTCAGTTCTTTCTTCAGTTTGAGCTCGGTACCCACGATATCCCAGACCTAAGGACAGCACAAACACACACAGAGTACAGTACAGCGCCCTAAAAGTTCACACAGTGGAATCTTGTGCTGGTTCTCCAGCCCCATGGGAATCAGCTGAACCCGCTGGCCGGCAGATACAATAACTATGCTGAATAAGCATGTTCCTGAGGGCTGGGAAAGTTTGAATGGAGCCTGCATTATTGCTGGCACAGACCCTTCCTCAGCAGAGCTATAGGCTTGGAAAACCTAAACCAAATCCTGCGCTGCACTTCTCCTCACAGCCTTTCTATTCTCACAGCTCCTGGAAAACACTGGCTGAAGCCCTCTGAACACAGGGATCAACAGGGCTCCAAACAGCACTGCTGACCCACTCAGCTCACGTGGCAGAAAGTGGCTGGGGATGAGAAAAACAGAAGGCCCCATGTGCTGTTTTTGCTTAGTGCTGTCACTTCCAGCCCCAAGCGCTCTGCAAAACCACTCCAGGCCCAGATAAAGAAAAGAGCATGTGCTCTCTTACAGATGGACGGTCCCATAAGCCGCCTCACCAGGAGCTGGAAGCAGAACCAATGGAGTCTAGCCAAGGCTTTAAAGGGCAACTTGCAAAGCTGTTCCCTGATTTTTTGCATGCTTTGGGAAAAGAACACTGACTCAAGATCCTTTGGAGGCGGTTTCAAACAGGCAGGTTGAATCCCCAGCCAATTCTGGGCACAAGGCACAATTCCCAATGGTCTGAGTAGGTGTGTAAGGAGCCCAGGGAATCACACACTGGGGAACTGCCAACGTCCTCCACCTGAAGCCTCAGGTTTACAGAATTAAAAGGAACAAAAGGGTCTTTTTAGTCAGGTCTCAGAAAATCTCTAACCGGCACACAGCACACTACTGGCTGCTCTATGTAGCTCCAGAGAACAGAGTAATAAGATACAGACCAAAATGTCACTTGATTTCTATTTGGAAACTGCTACCTGACAGCCTGCAGCATCAGTCCCCAAGTGAACCAAGAGGAGCTACCCCAGAGCTCTACCTTGATGGCTTTGAGGGAGCCACTGAACAGCATGTTGTGCGAGGAGACCAAAGTGCAAACAGGATTGTCATGCGCTCGGATCGTGTTCACTTTCTGCAGATTTTGGATATCCCAGACCTGCAAAGGAAAGGAGGAGAACCTATGAGGGGCAGGAGCTGGTGCTGAAGCCCTTCCTCTTTCTTTCTGGAGTGAAGCAAAAACACAGGCACTGGTGTGAGCCACCAGCCTAGCTCGATGAGCAGCATGTGCCCAGTCTGCAGGGAACACCCAAATCCAACCCTTGGGAACCTTGGTTAAAGGCTTGGCATAAAGCACACGAGATACCAATCCTATCACCAGCAGCTGAAAAACGTTACAGAAACCAGGATGCAGGTCCCTGCTGCCCTATTAATCCCAAGTCTCCACTCCCAAGCACAGCAGGGGTCTCCAGGTACTCACAATAATGGTGCAGTCAGCAGAGCCACTGTATAGCTTGTTCCTGTAATGTCACCACAAAACAAAAGAAGGTCAGCGAGGACAGCAGCCTCAGCTGGTTCCCAGGCTGTGTGCTGGACCAGGAGCTGCAGCCCTACAGCTTCATTGGGACAAGTCCCAGAGCAGCAGCAGCCTCAGAAGCAGGGCCGGGGCTGCGTGGGAGGCTGTGCTGGATTATCATTTCCAGCAGCAGCCCAGCATCATGCTGGTGAGCAGGGAAGGAAGAAACCAGGATGGCAGCAGGAGGTGGTTTGTCATTTTTTAAAGATGTGAGACTTATGAAGGGTTCCATCTAAAGGTGAGATCCAGGACTTCGGGAACTGATGGGGCTCCTCTTCCCACCACCCCCAGCTCCAAATGCACGCACAGTCCTGGCACATGCAGGACTTGGGATGGGAACTATAAGGGTGCACTCAGGAGGCTCAGTGCTCACTCCCCATCCTGCAGGGCAGGTGTCCCTCAACACTCACCCCTGGATACAGAGAGCCAGTACAATTCCATCGTGACCTTCCAGGGTCTTTTGGCACTTGTATGTGGTACAGGTATCCCACACCTAACAGGAAACACAAGGCAGCAGAGGGTCACATGCCTGCACATACAGCAGCTGGGGGCCTGGGCAGGATGTCGGCAGACCACAAAGGCACGGAAAGGAGGAAACAGGCTGTCATCTGGGCACCTGTGTTCCTGTCTTCCAGGCAGAGATAAGCCTGTCTAGGAAAGGAAATTTACTGCAGAGGGTCAGGTTGAAGTTAACAAGAGACACTGAAGAGGAGCGCACACCAGCCCTCTCCAGCACTGCCTTTCACAGCCCCAGGCCAAAACAACACTGCTGAACCACAGAAGCAGCTCTCTGGCTCCTGTTTTAGCGATTCACACCCTGTCCCTGGGGGCAAACCACACAGCACAGCCTCCTCAGTCTCCGCCACCACAGAGCATTTCCCCACTAACCTCTCTCTTGTCAGAGAAAATGTGAGAATGTCGTGCTTAGCCGGCTCTGAGTTGCCCAGAGCAGCCAGCACTGGGGAGAAAGCTGTTCTCCTCCAGTAAAACACAAAAATATCCATTCTCTTCCATGTGGCTTTGCTCTCCCTGAAACAACCTGACCCCAAGTGGCTCCCCAGCTCAGCCAGCAGCCACCACAGTGACACTGGAAACTGCTGCTTAGGTTGCACTGGAGCACTGCTGTCAGTCTGTGCTACTGAAAACAGGGCAAAGAAAAACAAACATGCCATAAAACGAAAAAAAGGCTCATTTTATCAGGGGAAAATGGTGGGGTTTTTTGTTTGTTTGTTTGTTTTTGTGAGGTGACATTTTGTAACAAGGGAAAATATAATCAGATGCTGAACAGGGCTCAGATGCCTTAGACACCATATAAAGCAAAACCACAGAAAGCAGGAATGAGATTCTAATCAGGGCTTCACAAAAAAACACGATTTGTCTTGATTTCCCTATCACTTAGCACTTCCCTACAGCAAAACTGAAGTACATTTTGCCTAACTATAACCATAAAGAATCATTAAGAATTTCAGGAGGAACATTGGGCAGTAATATGCCCCTCAGTCTCCCAGCTGAACTGGAGCTCAGCTTCTGCCTCACCTGGAGCACATATAGAAATGCAAAGTGGAAGAAGCAAAGCTCTTACCTTAATGGTTTTGTCTGAAGAGCCGCTGAAGAGCAAATCTCCTATGGAGTAAACACACAGACACCAGACGGGGCCCTGGTGCCCCACAAAGGTCCCCTTGCACTTGAAGATCTGCTGAGGGTCATAGGCTATGGAAAGAAGAAGAAAGGTAAGCATGGGAAAACAGCCAGAGCACTCTGAGCGACCTTGGAGGGAACAGAGCTCCCCCCCTTCCTTGAGCTTCAAGCTGCTGCAGCAGTCTGACTGGAGGGTCCCACGTCCTGCCCTTACAGCTCATTGCCTTATCACTGCTTTGAGCCCCAGGATTCTCTTCCCTTATGCAACTCCCAGGTTGGATCTAGGGAGGGCAGAGATGCAGAGCCCACTTGAGCCCAGCAACCAGTAAACCTGCAGCGCTGTCAGTTAGCCAACCCATTAACCAACTCTTCTGGCAATCATGTCCCACCAGCTTCCTGCAACAGTGGTGGTCCTGTGCACAAATCACTGCTGCAAACAGAGAAAACTGGTACTCTGCCTGCCTGTGACTCAGCCTGAAAGAGCTCACTGCCATCACCCAAAACCAGCTCAAGCAGATGAAAAACACAGGTATACTCACATCCAAGGATGCCCATGTTGAGTCGAGCATTAATGTGGGAGAGCTCATCCTGAAAAACAGAACAAACTGCCTGAGCTGCAGAGCTATCAAGACCAGCCTGCCCTTCTGGGCACTGTCCCCATCCACTGCTAAAACAGCTCTCATGTTTGGACAGATTTTGACTCCCTGTGCAGGCTGTCCCCCAGCAGCTGACTCATTTTCCAATCAGAGATGTCCTGCCCTAGGACTGTATGTCTACATCCCTCTGTCACCTTCCTCCAGGGACCACAGGGTTCTGACAGCGCCTCAGTCCTGCACTAAACTCTTCAGTATTCATGCAGGCACAACACCTTTCAGAATATACTGTCCTTGCTCTGCCATTCACCAGATTGCTAACTATAATCTAATCAGTTATGAGGGCTGCTTGCTCAGCTTGGCTTTTGAAGCCCACACTGTTGGAGAAGAACTGGAAGATCTCTCTGCAGTCTCCTCCACAGCCCACTTACTACTGTACCCATGGGGATTCAGTTCATCAGTACGCTTAGGTAAACCAGAGCAAGCTCCTCCTAATCAGTACAACCAGTGGGATGCAGTCTGCCTGAGCTAAGGAAGAATGTCTGTCCAACATCAGTGCCTGAATAAGATCCAAAATCATGAGACATCTCTCACTCCCAGCTTGTTAGCAGGGATTTGCTTATTTGCCTGCTTTCTCTGAAGGCAAGGAGGACATGTTGTCCCTGGCCAGTATGAAAAGTACAGCTGCATTCAGGCTTTGGAGCAGAGCGCTCTCTGTGCAGCAGGTGTCCTTTACTCTGGTTACACCTTCCAAGAGCAGCAACAGGCTAAGAAAAGGCAGGAGAAACAATTAAAAGAGCAACCTAGACGCAGTACCTAAATACACCCACTGAGCTGCCTGTAATTCAGCCTGGAGGAAATCTTCACCCACACACCAGTTGCTGTAAAAACAACCCAAAGGTGGGGTGTGCAGAGTCAGCAAGCTGAATGGAACCCCAAAGACTCCCCCCACCATAGGAGAAGCCCAAGGAACAGAAGAGCCAGGATCTGACTGAGTGCAACCCTGCCCAGCCCCAAGGCCCCGTCCTCACATTCAGCATGGAGGCATCCCTGCGGAACTCCATCAGGTCCTCGCTCAGCTTGCTCTGGTTCTCATCCAGCACATCTACAAGGGAGTGACAAGGTCATGGTTACTGCCGAGGCCCACACAGCACCCAGGAGAATGGAGCAGAGGAAACACACTGACATCTAACTTTTGGAAAGGGCTGGGCATGGCACTCCAGTATTTTTGGCTATTCTACTGATCTTCATGGGGAAGTGTGCCAATGGACTACACAGAAAGAAGCCACAAAAGAAAGGTGGTAGCTGTCTGCAGACATTCCTAGGATTTGCCATAAGAGCAGCGACTGGAGGCCCCATGATTACAGGCAGCATAGAAGTCAATAGGACCCCTCTTTGTTCCTCCTGTTTTAAAAACAGAATGAATCCTATAACATAGCATCCTACCAGTGCTGCCCTGTCCCTACTGCTCCAAGCAGACAGCTCATCTGATGCAGACTCACCAAACTTGAGTTCCAGATTCTTCTCCAGCTGGTCAATCTTCTCCGAGAGCTTCCCCAGCATGGAGCGCAGGAAGGCAATTTCCTGGTCCTTCTGGGCCATTGCCACCTGCATCTCATGGAAGCGATCATCTGTCTGCTGCAGAAACTCTTTCAGACCCTCAAACTTGCACATCTCCAAATGGGTCTCATAGGTGTCTTGATTTCCTATGAATGTACACCTACAAGGGGAAGGCAGACACCAGTTTGGAGCAGGTCACACTCTGGGAAACCTATTTGCTCAGTTGGCTCCAGGCTTTTGTGAGCCCCCAGCTGTTTGTCCCCTACAAAGAGCACTGGTACTGCAGTTCACCATCATGCTGGGTTACAGAGACCAAGTAGCTCCCATTCTTCTGGCCAGGGTACTGGCCCCAAAGTGGTTTGCCTGTCTGTCTACCAAGGTAGTTGCAAGAAGCAGCAGATCTTAGGCAAGAGACACGATGTGGTGTCCACTAGTGCTCACCAGAAGCCCAATCAAAGAGCCATCAAAACCAGTGGAAAAAACTGCTGCTGACTTCAGGTGGTGCTGGCTGCAGCATGGCAAGGAGTAAAGACTGCTTTGTCAGGAGTTCTTTTCTCAGCTTCTGCCAAGACATCATTACCACAACAGAAAGTTTAGCTGTGCAGCCTGCAGAGAACTCTTAGCCCAGGCCACACCTTTGCTCATGTGGCATTCAGCCTTCTGAGCAGTCCCCAAGCCCTGGGAGAAAGGCTGGCTTGCAAGACACTGCCACGGTACTTGCTCTGTCCTCCAGCTCATTCTGCTGCTCACACACCTCATCCCAGCTGCCAGCAGAGCTTACAGTTGGGTGGCATGAGCTGTCTGCTCTCAACAAGAGGCCTGGGGGCTGCCTTCTGGAAGCTCTGCCAGCCTAATTGCAATCTAAGGCACTGCAATGGTAGAGCTGTTCACAGCCCATGGGGCTACCACAGGGCTGCAATAGCCAAAAAGCAGCTTGGAAACGAGCTCAGTGCATCCCTCCCACTAAAAAGCACCAGCTCCTTACCCATACTTGGAATGGGGACACTTGATGTGTTCGCACTCTTTCAGATGTGCCTCCAGGTTCATTTTCAGGAGAGGTGGGCAGCTGGGGTTATTGGGGCAACGAACTGGCCTGTAATCACAGCTGCTTTCATGATCTCTGCCCATGGAGAAAAGCAAAAGGAAGGAAAAATCAGTGACAAGCAAAAAATTAACGGAAATCACACAGATCATCAGGAAAGGAGCTAAGCAGACCTGTGATAAAAAAGCCTGCCATTCTAATGCCATAATTACAGCTTTAAACTTTTATTTGGTCAGCAAGTTGGGAGCAATAGGTCACATTTATGCAGGGAACATTAAATTTTGCAGCTCATCAGTTGAGCCTTCAGCTAGCTATTAGCAGCAGGCAACAGCCAGGTGACAGCAGGAAAGTGAATAGATACAGGATAAGGAGAGAAATGAATTTCAGAAAGCACATTCCCAGGATACAACCAGGATGACTCCTTTTACAAAAAGAATCCCTGAGTCCCTTCTTGACCACAGTCACAATGTTCCACCCCAGAAGTGAGGTGGCTGCTTTCACACTGCCTGTCCTGATTCTGATTGCCAGGTAAGCCACGAACACAGAACAGCACCTTTTCCCCAAGACCTGACCATCTGTCCCCATGCTCAGATTGAGACATAGTGAAAAGAACCGCCCCCAAGTCCTTCTGCCTGTTTCCACATCTTTGCACAACCAGAAGAACGCTGCAGGTGGGAGCTGTGCTGTCCCAAGGGTATCTCAGCAATTGCTGGTGGTGGGGGCCCTGCATGGGGAGGCTGTGTGCTGGTGACAAACCACTTACTTCCTGACACTCAGTTTAATTGTAAACGGGCATCCACGGGGGTCCACCTCAAAGGCAGCAGGCTTACTGCTGGCTGCAGGCCGGCAGCCATACTTGCAGTGAATGAAGAGCTCCCCGATCTGCTCAGCCACCGCAATGTTGTTCACCACCACAGTCAGCTTGGCGTTGTCCACAGGGCACTTCTCTGCAGGTGGGGAAGAAAAAGAGTCAGTGAGGGCTGAGATGCCGCGGGAGAACTTCAAAGAGTCTCTATGTATGAGATTTTATTCTTTACCCTTCCCTATCCAAGACGGCCAGCTCCCAAATCGGTGACAGTGGCATGAGCCATGAATACTCACACATGGTCTGCAAACTACCAGCTCTGATTTGCCTTGGAGTTTGGTGAAAAGTTCTATTTTGTGTTAATTCAAGGCAACTCAAGATAATCATCAGTGAAGGAATGCCACTCTCCTTGAAGCAACCTTGTGTATGCTGAATTGCAGAAGTATACATGGAAAGTGCCCACACATCTGCTGATAGCGCACACATAATCCCATCTCCCACCCCAGCCCAGAGCTAGCTATAGCCAACACAAGCTGAGGGGACAGGAACAATTCCAGGGCTACAATTGCAAAGCCTTTCGTTGCAGAAGTGTTGGTTGGGATAGACACAGTGACAGAGAAATTGGTATGCAAAGCAGAGTGACTCGCTGACACGCAGAAGATGAACATCTTAAGGCAGAAAGAGCTACTGTTTGCTGGGCTCCTCAGGGAGCTTCCTCAGGGCTTGCTGTTCTGGTAATACAAATGGCTTTGTGCTGAAACAAGAGGGACACAGGCTCATGCCAAGGGAAGTAATTTTTGGAGTGCAGAGACCAAACCAAGAGGGAGGTGGTCAGGCCAGGCTGTCAGCCAGAAGCTGGGGCTCCAGCAGGCTGCTGGGAGAGTGGGGTGAGCTCCAGCAGCTCTGCTCTGCAGGCGGAGCTGGCACTGAAGGGATATGCAGACAGAGAGCTGGCACTAATGGGTTGGGGGAGGAGGGCTTGGTGATTTCTTGCCAAACACAGCCCCCTTGTTCCCTGGATGGGTAGCCACAGAAAGCTTTCATTCTGAAATCAGTGGGTCAACTCTGGGCAAGACACGTATTATCCTGGGATTATCCAGTGCCTATTCCTGGATTTGAGAACATCCTGTGCCCAAAAGCTGGGCCCAGCCCTCCAGTGCCCATGCTACACTGCATACCACCAAAGCTTAGGGCAGCTCAGCCACCCGAGTCCCAGTCCCTCACTGCTGCAGTGTAGCCAGGGACTGACAGCTTGTTTAAAGCCCTTCAGATATCATTCTAAATGAGCAGGTTTCTTTTAAGTGAAAGCAAACAAACCAGAAAATGACAGCATTTAGGCTACATCACACAAGAACAGTTCTGTACTCACCAGATGTTAAGGCACATCTTCTACAAAACGTGTGCTGTGGAAACAAAGAAGAAAAGCAGTGTCAGCATAAACTATATCAGATAAATTATCCCCTGTGGCTAATGATGGGAAAGGTTGGAGAGCCCAAAGCCAGTTGCACAGGGATCTCAGCAGCTGTTCAGTCTGCTGTGTAGCTCAATGTGCTCTTGGGTCTGTAGAAGAGAGCAAAAACAGGCTTAGAGGGGCAGCTGATACAGGCAGCTGAGACTCCAGCACAGCTCCTGTTCCTGATAAGCACTAAGTACATGTTTGATGCTTTGAGGATTCTGCTCTACTCAGATCAGGATATAGGCATGTCCTGCAATACTGACATTCTTACCCTCCAAGACCACATGGATTTATCTACTTTGCTCTCCATTTTAGTCCATGCCACTTCTCTCCTTTTCCTGAGCACTCTCCAAGCAGAAGAGCATCAGTCTCTCCCTGCCCTTGGCCAGTCAGCCCATCATACACACTCTTCTGTAGCTCTTCTAATGAAGCTGTCCAGCTGCCAGGTGGACAGGAAAGCTAATTTGTAAACCCATTAAATACACTGTAAATTCTGCCCCTTGATATAGCTCACTCTCCATTTTTACAGCAGAAATGTATGGCAGCTATTTAACCTGATAAAGTAGCAAATTCAATCTAACGTGCTAAAGAACATAAAGAAAGGAACGATGTCTGCGGCACTTCATGGGTCCTGAACTCACCCTGGTGGGGTCCTGGGGACTCCTCAGCCACATTTCCCTGCCCCAGGGCTTGGCAGCAGCACTGGAGGTACTGCAAGGCACTCTTCAGAGCGTTTCTGCAGCCCTGCTCACATGGCCTTTTCCTGCCCTGCACAGCTGCATGCTGCTCTCTCCAGAGCTGCAAAACCAGAGCTGCAAATGAAGCCACTCTGCTTCCTGCAGATTATTTTTTCCAATATTAACCAGTAAATCTTTGTCTCCACAAAGAGCTGCTTATTGAAATGATGCAGCAAAACTGAACCAGCTTCCAGAACCTCCAGGGACAGCACCCCCTACAATAAACAATCCCACTCTGAGCTTGTTGTTACAGCTCTATTCTAGCAATCTGAAGCACATCAGAAGCATTAGTGAGCCCGTCACAAAACCATCTTTCTTCAAACATAGCACAGAAGCAGTAATAATATACAGCTTCTATTAAAATCTCAATAAAATGGAATATAGAAGAATATTCATAATACTCTGTGCCTTTCATTAGAGGATGCCAAATCCCTCTGCAAGCATTAACTAAATGAAGCTTCAAGCCATTCCTGTCTTATAGAAAACAGTTTTTTAACAACTGAAAAGCAACTGTTTCCAGGGTGCCCAGAGGCAGCAACACCCTGCAGAGCCCTTCACACAGGGAATAGGAGCTTTGACATCACTGAAGCCAAACCAGGGAGACCGAATGTGGCCAGGACTGGCAAGCTGACAGTATACTTCTTCAGGGAAAAGCAGACCAGTTGTGAACAAGCCTTGGGCTTCTCTGGCTAACCGCACTGCCCTGCATGCCTCATGCAGACAGGTTCAGAGCTGCCTTTAGGAAACCTGCCACGTGCTCAGCAGCATCTCTGCAGCCACTGACAGCCACTGGGACAGTCATGGCTTGGCTGTGGGTCACCTAAGACATCTGTGGAAGCCAAGCTCATGATCTGGAAGAGTACTGCCTTACCCCACAGGTTGTGATGACTGGATCCTTAAACACACTACAGCACAGTTGGCAGCACAGCTTCACGGACGGCTGTTCAGCAAACACCAGTGGCTCCTAAAGAAGAGAGAGAAAAGGACAGAGAGCAGAATTAAAGCAAACCCAGGAGCTTTCAACTCTGCAAAAGGCTCAGCAAAGCAATTCTTCAGGGATGAGCCAGGGGCCCAGGACACACTAAGGATGTCGTTATCTCTAAATAAATATTTGCTTGGATCTGTTTATTTCCAGCATCCAGGAGGCAATGGAGGAATGACACTGGGAATGTCTGGAGACCCTCAGATCATCACAGACTGGGAGTCACTTGTATCTGGCTGGACTGGAACACTGACAGCAAACTGCAGAGACCATCTTTGTGTGAAAAATTCAAGTCACCAGAACTGCATACACTGCACTCCCTGGTACTCTCTGCATGGTTGGACTCAACAGTGTGGTGTCAAAAACATTCTGGGTACTAAGCCTGAAGTTTAAAAGCCATTTTAAAACAGCTTGCCCTTTCGTATTTTGAAACACCCTGAAGGAAGTGTTCTTTCATTCCCTTATGGTACAGAAATAGCACTGCCCTGCCCAAATGGGCCCAGCTCTTCAGATTTGTTACCAACAGAGACTGCTGGAGCAAGGGCACTGGGCACATCCTATCTGATTGGCACAGCTCAGATGAGAATGGGGCTCAAGGCATTTTGAACCAATCACTGCAGCATTCTGAACCAATCACTGCAGCTTACTCTGCCTTTTCATCCCACACCGTTCTCACAACTGCAAACATGACCCCCTGGGTTCCTAAATATGAAATACAAACTTTTATCCTGGATCTGTGACAAAATGCCACTTGACCTTTCGTTCATCCACTGTGGGCTTAGGCACTGGGTCACAAGCTAAGCACTGCTCAGAAGTGCCTTCCCCTACAGGGAGGGACATGAGGGCAATTCCTTGCACCCCCTTGGGGCTTACAACTAAGTCAGTGGGGTGCCATACAGCCCTAAAGGCAGGATGGGGCTCTGAATCAGGGAGGAATTGTGTAGCCTGTCTGGGGCTCAATCACCAGCTTCAAGATTTACTGCTCCCTCCTGCTCTATAGCAGAGCCAGGGAATCACGCACCACTCTGCAAAGCATTACAGCTTTTCAGAGAAGCAGAAAAGACTCACCATCATCCCCTCTTTACATACAGGGAAATGGTACACAAGGAAGCAAACTAACTTGCAGAAGTCAGTAGGGAAAACAAAATTATAACCACGAGTCCTGAACCTTAGTTGCCAGACAACACGAAAAGCTCCCCGTGCTAGCGGTATGTACTCACAGGAGTCTGCTAAGTTACTCTTTTGACACTGAACTTCCTAATACTGCTCCTTCCGACAATCCCAAATACCTACTGGCTCCTCCTCTTCCTCATGGAGTGAGAACGTTGAGCGCAAGGACATGTTGGACTCAGAGTGCAATGAACGGACGGAGATAGCGGAGTCAGAGCGGCGTGGGGTGCTGATCGGAGGCTTCAAAGAGATAAAAACCAATTCTTGTTATTGCAAATAACTCCCCCTGCTCCAAAACCCTATGCACAGAGAGTTCAATTCAGCCCCCCCCTCCACCAAACTCAGCTGCTCCATTTGTTCATCCACTTTGCCAAGCTGCTCTGAATGGTCTCTGCGTGCCTCCCTGCTGGGGACACCACGCCGCGCAGGGACAGGACGGCCACCATCCAGCTCCAACTCGCTCAACTAAGCCGACATCCAGATTCCAAGCACGTCACTTTCTCAAAGGTGCATTTGTTTGGATACTTACTGCGCCCACCCGCAAAGTAATGGCTTGGAAGAATTAATCCTGCGCAGAAAGCTGTGTAAATCTCCCCCAGAGACAGCTACCAGCCCCTGCAATTTCTCTAATCTCTGCAGCAGCACTTGTTGTTTCGTTCGCGATCCAACTTCTGCCAATTTTTTTGCGTAAGTGTGCAGACTTCCTTCTATTCAATTCAGCAACAGGCTGACTTTGTCGCTTCCTGCTTGGGAGGGGAGAGCTCAGCGGACACTGCGTGCACCAATCAAGAAAAATCCCACTGGTTACGGCAGCCTTGGGGTTGGTTTTGAGGGAATGCTGCCACTGGAATATTAACCAGCAACACATCCCAAAGGGTGCAGTATCAACCAGCAGCACGTAGCCGAGATACAACTCAACGTCAGAGCCAAAATGGAGACTTCAGACCACTGGGACTCGGGGGCTAGAGCAGCTGGGAACTCTGCTACTGCCACTTAATTGAGGATCTCCAAGCAGACCCCACCACACTGGGCTGCTCCCCTCCGCAACCCTGCATACAGAAAATGCCTTGCTCGTGTTCAGTCTGCCCTGAGTGAAAACATGGAACATCACACCCAAGAGCAGGTGAAACCAATGAAAGAGGCCAGGAGGTGCAGTCAGGAAATTCAGCAATAAAAGATGCAAAATGAGCTTCAGAGAGAGTGCACTGCAGGGGGACTACAGTCCTCACTGGGCTGCAGGAGAGGAGCAGCACAGGATCCTGCTGGTTCTTCACACTGCTCCGCTCTGTAATTTTTATGATCCTGAGATCCCAGGAAATCAGCAATGCTGCATCTGCTTAGAAGGCAAAGCATAAAGCTCCTTCTATAAAAGGCATGTTTATTGGCTAAATATGTAAACCTCGAGGAAGAATAGTTATGAAGTAAATAAATTCTATGCGTATCCATTTATTATTTTCCCCCACTAGTAACACAAGTTACCACTCGTAACACAAGGTATTAAAACAAGAAGAATGACTGTGCATAGCTCCTATTCTGGAAGTGAGATAGAGATGAGGGCAGCAAAGGCAGGCTCTGCAGAGGCAGTTTCAGCAGCAGCACAGCCCATGTGCATCATCAGGCTGCAGCCAAGAGCATTTCCAGAAGGCTGGACGTAAGCCATGGCCTGGCTAGGTGTAAGACACCATCTTCAAACAACCCGAAGGATGGAGTGCTCGCACATCTTTTGATTGAATAGCCTGTGGCTGGCTGGTTACTTGGCCACAGGCAAAGCTCCCTGTGAACTGCTGAGAGCTTGGACAGCCACAGCAAGCCCATCATCTAGCCGTTCACACTTGCCCCAATATTCAGCTGTAATCTTTAGGGCAGAGTTCAGAGAACCTATTCAGAGAACAGGTCGTCTCCCACCCTGTCCATGAGTGCTCCAATACTGCCCTTGCTCCTGCCCCCCGAGGCTGGAAACACGTGGCACTGTTTTCAGGGAGGATGACAGCAGATGCTCACTAATCCCTGCCTTGCACACGGAACGCTCTGCTCTGCTTTAGGTTTCATTAAGAGAAACTTTAAAAAGAAAGAAGGGGGAGAGGGGTACAGGAGGGCTCTGACTCCTCTCCAGCTGTCTCTGTGATGGCTGACAAGCCCTGGAGAAGGATAAAACATAGCAAACATAATGACCAGGAAGGGAAATCCCGGATTATTTCTTAACAAAGCAAAGAAAGCTTCATAAAGGGGTTAACAAAAATTTATCTGGAGCAGCAGGCAGAGCAGAGCAGCTCATGGTTTATTAGCATCCCATGCTGCAGGCTGCTTCCTGAACCACTCATTACTCCTTTTGCTATTTTTGCTTAACAATACTTAGCACTCCAGGAAAGGTAGACCTGATGCTGTCCAAGAAAGACAACTGAGAATAGGTCCTAGGAGAGACCTCCCCTACTGGCTGCACACCTCATTGTGTAACACAGGTTTTCAAAGGAGCCAGGGAGCTTTTCCATCAAACATGGCTAAACGTAGTGTCCCCAGCATCCATGCTCTTCAGGAAAAGCCTCATCTCTACTCCATAAGAACTGCACAAGCCATGAAAAGAGAGCAGTGAGCACAGCACTTGGCCACTGGGTTGGTGCTGGCAGCCCAGGGGTTCTCTGAAGCAGTGGTTCAGCACCCTGAGGTCAGTGATGTGATGGAGGGCTGTGTCTGTCAAGGATATGAGCCAAATGTTCAAAGGATTTTTTGAAAAACAAACACATGCTCACACAAAACACAGCAAGATCTCTGAGCAACAGAAGGAACTTTATAGGATGCTGACAATAAAGCTCTTTGCAATCTGGTGTCAAATTTATTTTAAGAAGTGCTGCTGCTCCACACTGTTGCTGCAACCCCAGGGCCTAAATGAATCAGCAGCAGTGATCAGTTTCCCAGACTCTGAAGCTGGGTCTCCTGACCTGACAAAGTCTACATGCACTCACTTCAAATGGAGAGGTTCCTACTCATATGCCTAAATCTAGGTAGCAGCCTGAGGTTGTGAGCTGGGGCTGAGGGAACCAGGCACCTCATCAAGTGCTGCTTTTGTTGCTGAGGTTTGCTTTGCTGTTGCCAGTCTTGATTTAATTGATTTATTCAATTTCATTTCTCTTCAAGCAACTAACCCTGATGGCTGCCGGGTCACTAAATTGCCAAAAAAGTAGTGTGTAAGTTGAATGAGGAACTGGATACAAAACCAGGCAATGCTTCCCTGCAAAGGCACCGTGGGACATGGGCACATTTTTCTGAGGAGACCTTGCTGATGTAATCCCCAGGAGCTGAGCTGCCTGCAGGGCTGTACATCCCACTGCAGGTTTCAAGCTTGCTCCCTGTGGTCAGAAGCCCCACCTGGAGGTGGAAGGAGGAATGTATTTTCTAGTCATAGCTGCTGGATCAGCTGTGCTGCTGATGGAAGTTTACATAGCCACAGCTACCGGTGCCAACAGCCCAGGAAGGTCAGGGCATTCTGCTTACAACAGAAGGCAGGTACACCCTTACCAGTAGGTCTGTGGGATTTGTAGCTCTCAAACTCTGTAACAACGTACTGCTTTCAAACAGGCTGAAAACGAGGCCCAGCAGACAGGTCAGAAGCAGCCTCTGCTGCCCCACTGCCTAACCATGGGAGCAGCCAGGAAATGCCAACTCTGCTCCTGCCTCCACCGCAGCCATCTGTAACTGATGTAACAGTGCACGGGAATGTAGAGGGAGACAGAGGAACACCAGATGTCATTTGAGATACAACCAGCTAAGCCAGTCACGAGGGGCCTCTTGGCAACACCTACCATGCCATCGTCCTCATCTCGTGGGGAGTAGGTGAGTGTACTGGAGGAAGATGGAGTCCGACGATGCTGCTTAAAAGTATTGGTTCCATCAGCTTTAAGGCAAACGAGAAGAAAAGAAAGCAAAAAAAAGCTCCTTAGTAACATTTCTAAGCTACAGGTTTCTGTAGCTGTAAGTGCTCCTTGGGAAAGAAAAGAGTAGGGACTCCCCTGTGTCAGTTCCTGACCTGAACACATCAGCACAAACAATAATCCTGATCTCTGACAGCTTGCTGAAGTGCACGCAATCCTTTAAAGGGAGCTTGCCCAACAAAAAGCATAGATAATTTCCTCCCAGGCCTATAGGTTAAAAATGCTAATAAAAGGAAACCTTCCACACCCACAAGTGATCAGTCAGATCACTTAGATCTAGGGAGGTTTGGATACTTCTCGTAGCACAACAGAAACATGCTATACTAAATCAGAGGTTTGCATAAGGATAGTATTACTGACTAGCACAAAATTTTAGATGTAAATACTCAGGAGTCCAAAATGATCCAGAGTTTACACATGTAATCCAAACATTTCCTCCAGGAAGGTCATTAATTTCCTTATCTAGATCGGTGTCAAGTGCCAGTTTCTTGTCTTTACTAAAGTAAGGATATTTTTATTCCAAAGTGAAACCAGATCTCTTCCCACATTCACACTGAGTGCCAGAGCTCGGACTCCTCACCTGCTGGGCTTTGAAGAACAAAGCAGAAGAATTCTAAATGAGCAGGTACATTCACGCCCCCTCCTGTCTGAGCTAAAAATGACCACAGAGATTTTACCAAAGTGTACAGAGTGACAAACGGGCAAAGATCAGAATTTTCAGTCCTGGTAACGATTGCATGAGAATTCACATGGATAAATAAGATTTGAAACTAAGCTTTGTATCAGATCCTGTTGTGCTATCCTAATTTCAGCAAGATCTTCCCAGTTGTTCTGCTCATGCTCATTCCATCATTCCTGGTGAACAGATGTCGTGATTAAGTAACACTTGAGCTGTGTAATACTAACAACAGTACTCTGGCACCTGTCTGCAATGAACACACAGTGACTGTACCAACAGCTCTGTGAGCTGTGAAACGACGACGAGAAGAAGCCTAAGATTCTTGTCCAGTGCTCTGGGAAGAAGCCCCACACATGAAATGCACTCACCCTTTGTGATAGTTGTCACAGCAGAGTACGCCGGCCCAAAAGTTGTTTCCATTCTTGTCTGAAATATAGACAGAATGAATGTCAGTGTATCCGTGCAGCACAGCCTGAAGGCTCGCTACTTCTCCTGAACTGGCAACTGTATATATGAATATAGCCTGTATGCATTCTTCAGTTTCATTTGTGGATACTGTGATTTTTCAGGGGAAAAAGTATCAAATTTTCCATCATTGTCATCATTTTCTCAAAAGAAAGAATGAGAACACCAGAAGCAGCCCCAGCCCCTGCCCAGTGCTCAGGGCACCCACACTTACCCCGTTAGTGTTTTCTGAAGCAGTGATGTTTGGTGTGCCACTGGAGAAACGATTGAAGCGAGCGTTCTTGTTTGAGCTCATAATCTAGACCAGCACTTGTTAGTCATGGGAAGTTTGCTCTGTGGAAGAAAAGAGACAGAAAGAGAGTTAGGTTCACTGTACATCTTCCAGGCTCAGGGAACACTTTCCTCTAGTATGAAATCCAAGTATTTACCTAAACTCACATGAGCCGGGATTTTCAGAAGCAAGTGGCAAGGTCAAAGTCAGGCCCCTTCAAACCACTCCTGGGAGAAGCATTCAGCATTTTCCAAAACTCCAGCATTTTTTAAAATGACTCCTTAATCTCCCATATACTGGAACACTCATCATCATTTTACAAGTGTACAATCACTTCAGTTGCAGATGAGACTCCTCAGCAGTCAAAGAAAGACAGCATCCCACTGCCCCACTATCACTCTGTTCCCAATGAGACCCATAGCGTGTGCCAGCTGTGTCTGACAGCCCCAGCACAGAGCACACCACACTCCAAACAGGCAGAGGGATCTGAGCTAAAGCCTTGGACAAAGCCTGAGTCTACAGAGTGTCAAAGGAGCTGCGCATGCACGGAGGGCAAAAGGATGTAAAGCTGTACCAGCAAAGCCCTTATCCCTCTAAGAAAGAAACCTTACTTCAATTAACACACCTGTGATTCTGGATCTCACTCAGCTCCTGTTCAGAAACAGCCCCTATACCATCACCCAGAGAGAGAAATCCCCTCCCTCAGATGGCTCACTGCTCTTCTTCAGCTGTTTACCGGGTTCAAGTTTGCGAAGTCAAAGCATTGCACAATAATAATCTGTGGAAGCACATGGAGTTTGCTTTCTTTAACTTCTGCTGAAACCTGATGCTGGCTTGAGAGTTCTATAAGAACTTTAGGGAGGGGTGCTGAAGCTTCTCCCCCAGGAAGGAGCTGCAGCTCCATGCTGCCATGTTGCCTGGGACAGAAGTTCCCACTGTGGGCTCAGCACAGCAGGGAGCTCTGCTCCTTGGCTGCCCCTTCATCCTCGTAGCTGGAAGTCACTGCTGGCACTCACAGCCTGTCCCAGCCCGCACAGTGCTCCAGGAATAAGCTGCTGAGGAAAAATCCCGATTAAGGATCCCTTTTTATCCAAGGTACAGTTGAATCTTGGTGTTCTCCCTGCCAGCCACAGAGTCCAAGGGCTAAGCAGGCAGATCAGACAAACAGCAGTAGTGAGAACTGACTGGCCAGACACAGTTGACTAAATACACAGCCCAAATCCATTTTTTGCTGGTGCTTGGCTCTCCTCCTGCAAACACCATGGGCTGCAGCTGGGCAGGGCAGTGGTCCTGGTCCCAATCCTTGCAGGAACATCTGCCTGCAGCCTGCAGCCAGGTTGGGGCTGCTCCCCATGCAGCTGCTCCTGCTGCAGGCTCATCAGGAAGCAGGCTCCTCACAGCAAAGGATCTTCTTTTATCCAAGGGTGACACATCCCAAATCTCCAAGCACTTCATAACAGTGTGTGATCACCTCTTTTATAGATGGGGAAACTGAGGCTCAAGGTGTGACATGACAAAGCGGTGCAGCTGGGACCCTTCAGAGCTCCTTCAGTCACAGCCCAAAAGCCCCTGCTTTGCATGTATCCTATGCTCACATTTTAAACACTGCAAACATGATGCTGGAGTCATCCCCAGCCCCTGCTTAAGTGCTCTGCTGCCTGGCACAGCACACTGTGTCCTGCATGGGACAGCATTCATAGAGATCACTGCCCTTGGAGCTAAACTCTTGGGAAAAGCTACAGGATAAAAAAAAAAAAAAAGAAGAAAAACAAACCCAAACCCAACCAAAAGCAATAAACAAAAAGCCCCAAACCAAGCTCAGGACTATCTCAAAAATACAGATCTGAATAATGTTTTCCAAACATTATGAAGTTCTGTCCTGGCTGCCTGCAAATGCCAGATCCCTTAGGAAATGCTAAGCAGAGTTGCTGATGTCCAAGAACAGCAGGAATGAAGCAGGACCGTGCTGCTGCATTGTGCAGATCAAGGAGCTGCCTCCCAGCTGCAGTGCAGCTCCAACAGCTCCAAACTGCCTGCAGCAGGGGCATTCAGGGGCACCTCCCCAGTAAAATGCACATTCCCTCGCTCCAAAGCCCACCTAGAGGCATGCAAGATCCCACTTCAACAAATCATGGATAAATCCAAAGCAAGGAAAGGAGCACGGGTTGGAACACAGGGATTTTCCACTCCTTGTTCATACCCCAAACCCTGCAGCGTGGCTGAGCAAACTACCTGTGAGCAGCAGGAGGTAACCTGCCCTCCGTCTCCTCTGAATAGAAGCTAGGGGAATGCAAGCAATGGAAAAAACATCAAGTGGAATATTTGCTAATGTGCATAACGCCAGCTACCACAAAAACAGCCAACCTCAGCCCAAATCTCTGCAACCATCGAATGCAGGAGTGACTTCAACAGAGCAGACATGTCTGTAGAGCAGCCTGCCAATGCACTGTCACAAGGCACTGAAAAAGGCCTTTGTCAGTTGACATCAAAGAACTTAAAAGGAAGCAGAGAAGAGATGGTGTTCCTGATGTTAATAGCAGTTTCCCAAAGCACTTACAAAATCCCCTCCAGATCTCTGAACCTTGGCTTAGCACCTGGACCTGTTGGATCTGAGCAGAATCACATCCACAGGAGATGCTGACAACCACACAGTGAAAGCCTGTGTTACAAAAGACATGCACTCTGTGACCTACAAGGAGTAACTGAAAAATACCAGCAACCACAGAATCCTTTGGGTTCCAAGTCTTTCTCAGATAACCAAACACAAAGGGGCTGCAAAAATCCCAAGCATCTCCAGCAGCATCACAGAGCAGCAGGTCGGCAGCGCTCACACAGAACACAGCATCCAGATGTTCCATCCCAGGACTCTGCAGGGTCTGCTTGTGGCTGACAGCAAAACAGCAGCCACAGTAAGAGGGCAAGATCCCTGTGCATGAAGAACTGCTGGAAGCCCTTGTGTGTCCAGGCAGCACAGCCCTGCACGGACCCGCCTGTGACCCAGGCATTCTGTGCATGGAGTGGTGTTTATTTTTGACAGTAAAAAGAGGGGGGAAAAATCTCCCTTGGAAAAAAAGATGCTGTGGGAACCCGTAATTCACTGAATCACAAGGCTGATAGCAACCAGATGCAAAGTAGGGGAAGGGCTAACTTTCAGCATTTGCACAACACAGGGATCAACACAGGCTTTGGAGATTCAAGGAGAAGAAAAGCCCTGAAGTTCCCAGTTTTGTAATCCTTGCAAGGAAAAACCCAACCATCAGCAGCTGCAGACAGCCGGGAAAGGCAGCACTCCTCCCATCATAGAGCCCAGAAAGACACCAGCAGAGCCATTCTCTGCTGG